CATGGGTGACCCTGCTGGTTATTTAAAATACCAGTGGGGGTGGTATAGCCCTCAGAATCACAGCAATTCAAACCACCACAGCACGACAGACAGATGGGGTGGCATAGCCCTCAGAATCACAGCAATTCAAACCACCACAGCACGACAGACAGACGAGTGGCGGTTGCGTGGCTGCTGTTAAATAGAAATCTCTTTGTGCTAGGGCCCTTAAGTCTGGCTCAAAGGCGGGGTTTCTGTTCTTGGATGTCAATCAAGAGGCAGAAGCACAGCAGGGGCGACTGGTTTGTAGCGTGACGCTATGGGCTGCACTTGTGGGTCTCTAAGTTGGTCGACCCCGCCTCAAAGCCAGGATCCAACGGTTAGGCTAGAAAGGCACTCTCGCGTCCGGGGTAAGTAGGACAGCCTGGCTGGCCCCTGGAGTCTTCTTCCCGCTAGGTAGCGTCTCCCCATTGACCTGGTCTCCAGACACCTCTCACCCCGCTGCTCCGTGGTCTGGGTTTCATTTAACACCTCCACCAGGTCTGTGCAGTTCTCGCACATCTCCATTTTGATATGCATTAGAAAAGATTTCCCTGGAATACCACACTTGTGAATTGAAGACTTTGTAACAAAAGCATGGGCTGATTTGTTTAAAAAAAAAAAATACACTAAACAACAGCAGTAAAAGTGGCATGTGAAAACTGCAAGATTGTGAGAATATATGCAGATGAATGAAGTCTGGAAAAAAGTAGACTAGAAGGGACTGGGACGTGACTGCTACTTGGTCTTTGTTCTTGTGGCGGTTAGTGGTGATAGATAGTGGTGATAGATCCACAAGTCTATGGTCCTGCCTCATAGCGACCCCACGTGAAACGGAACCCAACACTCTCATCTTGCACCATCCTCACTCTGTCAGCCTAGCTCACTGAGGGTCTTCCTCTTTCTCACTGGCAGTCTACCAAGTATGATGGCCTTCTTCAGGGACTGGTCCCTCCTGATAAGGTGTCCAAAGTGTGTGAGGCAGAGTCAAGCCATCCTCGCTTCGAAGGAGCTTTCTTGGCTGCACTTCTTCCAAGACAAATTTGTTTGTTCTTTTAGCAGTCCAGGGTATATTCAATTCAAAGGCAGGCATCAATTCTTTGATCTTCCTTATTCATTGTTCAGCTTTCACACACATGAGGCTTGGGTCAGGAGCACCTTTGTCCTTAAAGTGACACGTTCACGAGGTCTTTTGCAGCAGTGTCCAATGCAGTATGTTGTTTGATTTCTTCACTGCTTTCATGGGTACTGATTATGGATCCAATTGAAAACGTCAATAAATTTGGTATATCAGTCAATCACACCCATGGCTAGCAGGTCAGTTCTGACTCACAGTGACCCTATAGTTGCAGGGATTTGGAGGCTAGGTACCTTACAGGAGCACACAGCCTCATCTTTCTCCCAGGGCTGGAGAGGCTGACCTTGCAGTTAGCACCCTGATGCCTAACCCACCACCCTGACTCCTGTGAACCAATAAAGAGTTTTTAAAGAGTGCCCTGGAGACTCTGCGGCCTTCTTTTTGGGTTCCCATGTGGGAGTGACTCATTCGGAGCAGCTACTCACAGAGGCTGGCTGGTTTAAAAAGGTTAAATATAGAGACGGGGGCGCTCCAAAATGTTTGTGGGAAAATTCCATTATCTTCTTTTTTTAACGTTTTTGTGAATTGAGTGAAGATTTACAAGACAGACATCACTTTTACATTCAAACAAATCATCCACTTTATTTCATTTCAATGACTGCAATCCTTTTAATTCTGAATTCTGTCCTTGGGTACATGCTGCCCTTTTGATCTTGAATGGTTGAGTGTTGGTTGTTCTCCTGATACACTATCTATAGCTTGGCTGAAAACTGAGCCATGGGGGCAGCGAGTCTGTAGTTTCAGGGTTCCACCAGTTTGATCTGATTGGTAAACCTGTTGTTTTTTATGATTTTGAGTCGTTCCACATTTTCTCCCACTCCATCCAGCACCTTCTAATCTGATCCCTTTTAAAGCAGTTGGTACTGGTAGCTAGGCACCATGCAGTTCCTCTGCCATTGTCTTTTCATTCCACTCTTCCTTCCAGGAGCTCTCTGAATCCCTCTTGTTGTATACTATCTTTACAACTAAGCTTTAAATTTCCTGATCATATTCTGTTATTCAGATCTTCTATTCCCCTGAGTTTCTGTAGTAATGCCTAAGTACTCAACAAATATTTGCTAAACTAAACAGAAACATCAGAGAAAATTTGGTATATGGAAAGTGCTTAAAATATCACTTTTTTTTGTTAACTTAATTTTTTTTCTTTTTAGTTTTTTTTTTTTTTTTTTAAATTGTGAACTGAGTGATTGTTTACATGGAAGAACACTGGCTTTACACCATCATCTCATTGCAATGATTACAATCACCTTTGTGCATCTTCATTTAACAGTATTTGCTTTCACTTCCTCTGTTTTTTTTGGGGGTGTTGGGTGGGGTGGGGAGATGTACACAAAAACACTCAGGAATATATAATAATTGAAAAAACCAAAGGGCACATTCTGTAAGCCTGCCTCCTGGCCACCAGCTCTCAGTCCCTCTCTTCCCATGAGTCTAGAGTCCTCAGTTGCTCTCTGTCGCCATGTCCCCATCTCTGGTGTCACTGCTTCTCTGGATAAGGTCTCGCATTCCGCTTGTGCTCTTCTCCCTTGATGGTTCTTGGGTCCTCTGTTTCTGGACTGTAAGATTAACTACTCCTTCATTTTTGATACAAAACTTCTACCTTTACAGTTGTGACAGTCGCAATTAGTAACGATGACAATTACCCACTATTTAATCATAAGAATCTTATCCCCATCTCTTTTCACTGTCTAGACAAGATGAAAACTATTCTGTGGGGACTCTATCTTCCCCCTCACACTATTAAACTAAACTCCCTCTTGAAACCTTGTAAGCCAGTCACTTCGTGCCTTTATCGCCCCCTCATTTTAGGTAGCCAGTGTCTAAGTTGCCCATCCCTATCTACCCTGTGTACAGAGGGGATAGCATTGATACTTGAGATGAAGACTCCTTCCCTCTCTGTTGGTATTTTGAGCTACTAAATCCATGAGTATAGGGCAAGTTCAACAAATTGTAGCAATTTACCCTTGTTTCCTTTATCAAGAATTGTTTTGTTTTTTTGTTTTTTTAATTTTTCTCTACTTGAGTTCTGATTATCAAGCCATCGAGGATAGGTCAAATGGGTACTATCTGCAACTTTGGGCATTCTTTGTGCATCTCCCCTCACTTCATATCAGCTGGATGCTTCACTCTCAGATCTAGCCCTCCATGTCTATGTCCTTGCGCATGGGTTCAGGAGTGTCCAGGTCTCACCACACTTTGGACCAAGCAGCCCTTCATCTTCTCTCTCTCATCTCCAGGTCAACAGGGGTCTATGGAATGTGGCTGAACTCAGCCATTTCTTCATTGCTGCTTTCCCCCCTCTTCCATTCACCAGTAGACCAATGTGGTTGCCAGCAAGCTTACATGTCTGGTCATGTTTTCCCTTTGAGTTTCAGTCTTGGGGGGGGGTTTGTCCTGAAAGGACTTGATCGCTTGCACTTTATCATTGTGAACTTCTAACTTTTTAGGAAATGTTGTTGTTGCTGTTAAGTGCCGTCCAGTCTTCTGACCCACAGTGACCCTGTACAGGGTTTCCAAGAAGCAGCTGGTGAACCTGAACCACCGACCTTGCAGTTTAAATGGCTTTGCACTCTGACGCATTAACCCACAGTACCACACCAGGACTCCTTAGGAAATACAAGAAAGACTAAATATGAAAAATAATAATCACAGAAGATACAGCTTTATCTCCGTGGCCTTTGGTATTTTTTTTGTTGAATCAATAACTCAATCTCCACATAGAAGCAGGAGACTAGTTTAAAAATGGCTTTAGTAGGTTCAACTGATTTCTTTGGTGCAATGCTCTATTAGAACCCATTGGAAAGCTGAACTACACCAACACTGAGATAGCCGCGGGGGCAATATGGTGAGAAACGGAACATGGTAACAGAAATGGAACATGATAGTTTTGCAGGTTAAGTGATTTTGAGATTGAAGTTTGAAAGATAAAGCTCTCCCGAGGGCACATAGCACCATGGGATCAAGTGCAGGGGGACGAAGAGCCTGTGACTCTCCACTGCCCTGCACATGCTCCCAGTTTTCCAAGAAGGAGCGGGACTCTGAGGCTCCTCTACAAAGCTAATCTGTCTATTCAAACCGTGCTGTAAACCACAGAAAAGTTCAGACTCTTCGGCGCTCAAGTGATCAGAGCTGCCATGGGATTTGCGTTCCTCTTTCCCACTGCCTTAAGTAGGAGGTGCCTCATCTCCAGCTGTTGTTATCACCATCGTGTCTTCTTTATCACTGCATTCGGAGCATCTGGCAGAATCTACATACAGCTGTTCCCTGAATGCATATGGGGCAAGTGACTGGATCCAAGAGTCACACGGCTGACCTTTCACCTCACCTCAGTTTCCTGCAGGCGGTGTCCAATGAGGCTTAGGGACTCTCCCAACAGCTGGAGATGAGCAGCAACATCAATGGGCTCTGTCTCAGGGGTTTTGGCTGGTGAGGTTGGTAACAGCATGGTACTGGGTGGAGACTTCTTTTGGGGTGACAATACTCCTGTAGAAGCAGCTGAGAACAGAGGGAGAAAGCAGAGAGGTCAAACTTGTCTGATCTCGAACACCACAAAATCGTTCTTCTCGATCTCCCCTTTATAATCAGCTATACTGGATTTCTGGTGTGGCGCTGTGGGATAATGCACTGGACCACGAGATTGTGATTTGAAATATAAGGTTGGTGGTTCAAACTCACCAGGTGCTCTGAAGAAACTCTACGTTGGGTCTCTGTGAGTCGGAACCAACTCGATGGCACGTAACAACATCAGCTGTACCAGACAATAGCAAAACTAGGATTTGTGTGCCAAATCGGGTCTGTGACTTGTTTTTGTATGGCTATAAAAGGTTTTATGTTTTTAAAGGGCTATAAAAAAAAAAAAAAAGGAGCTCTGGTAGTGTAGTGGTTATGAATTGGGCTGTGTGAACCTCAAGGTCAGCAGTTTGAAACTACCAGCTGCTCTGTAGGAGAAAGATGAAGCTTTCTGCTCCCACAAAGACTTACAGCCTCGGAAACCCTGTACAGGGTCGCTATGGGTTGGAACCGACTCAACAGCACTTAACAACAACATATAAAAACAAAAAAACTCCCAAAGCACACAACAAAGAAAAACATAAGACAGAGACTTGTGAAGGGTCCACACCGCCTAGAATATTTGCTCTCTGGCCCTTTACTGAGGTAGTTTGCTAGGCTTTGATTTATATTTTCTAAATTTTAACATGGCTTTTGTACTCTATGGCATTCTGTAATAATAGCTGGGTTTCAGGATCTGCTAGCAAACAAGCACTGCTTAGGGAAGTACTCTGGGAAAACTAAGCACTGGAGGCAGCTATGGTATCTACCTTTTACTTTCACGGAACCTTCGGAGCTGGAGGCTTTTCTTTTCACGGTTGTAGCTTCTGCTTTATTCTGTTTGTGTTGCAGATATTGAGCTTTCTGCTTCCAAATCTGAGGTCAAATCAGGGCAAAAGAAGTAAAAAGGGCATAATGAAAGGGAAGACAGTCATGGGAGAACAGACTACAGGAGAGAACAGGAACAACAGAGGAGGGCAGAGAGCGTTAGCAGCAACTTTTCAGGCTAAAGATTACAGTAGTATCTTAGTGAACTACAGTCAGACTTCAGTGTTGATAGAACGACTATAGTATGGATGCCTAGTTCTAGGATTGAGCCCTGGTGGTGCACTGGTTAAGCACCCAGCTGCTAACCAAAAGCTGCTGATTTGAATCTACTGAGCAGTTTCATGGCAGACAGACCTGGTGATCTGCTCCCATAAAGATTACAGCCTAGAACGTTCTATGGAACAATTTTCCTGTGTCACACAGAACTGCTAGGAGTCCATTCCATGTGACAGAGCAACAGGCTTGCAAAGTAAAATCCTGGCATAAACATCTGGCTCAGTACAATGTCCATGTGTCTTAAATGCTTCCTCTAGCTGCTGGCTGGCAGGGTAACAATGATGTGGACAAGAGAAACTAAGGTTAATCTTATCTGGGTGACAAATATTTTAGTTTTTTTCCACTCAGATGAGCTATACCTTAAAGCAAGATGGTTACTGGCCTTCATAGACTCTAAATCTAGTTCCCGAGAATCCCAGTGGGAAGAGATGGTAAACAAGCCCAATGTGAAAGCTCATCGCTGACTGGTTAACTGGCTCCTGTGTTGGCTGCCTGCCGTCACTGCTAAGTGAGTGACACTCTGCAGGTGTCAGGCTCCAGCTTTGGGATCTGGATTCTCCTCTAACACTTTAATCACTGCCCAAGTTAGGTCACCTTTTGCCTCACATATAAGGTTGCTAGAAAAAAATTAGGCAAGGTTCAAAACCAGTCCCTCAGCAGCTCAGTCCTTGTCCAGGGTAGACTGGCATAGTGCCCTTGGCTAAACAGACCATTTCAATGGCCATTCCCCGCCAGGATTTTCAGTATTTTTTGGCTGGAGGGCCTACAGGGCAGTTACACATTTTATGTAGTACAAAGCAATAGGAATAAGTGCTGAAAAGAAATTAGGTTACTTACCAGTTTGTCCTTTTCTGGCAATTGCTTCCACACCTCAGCTAATTTTTTACTAAGTTCCCCAAAATCTGGCATAAAAGAGTACAAGAAAAACCACACAGTAAAGATTAACTATTAACAGAACATATGATTGATGAGCGCAAAGACTGGGAGGATCACAGATGCTTTCTGAAAACCAATCCAAACCAAACCCCACTAATTGTCTTCCCATTCTTTTCTATCCAAAAAGGGCTCTTTTAGAGATCATAAGATAGGTTCAAATTCTCACACATCTACTCTCTAGGGATCTATTTCTTGTAAATCTGATATTTTCTAACTTGCTTCCACAATATAGAAGTTGTTGTTGTTAGGTGCCATCGAATCGGTACCGACCCATAGCGACCTTATGCACAGCAGAACGAAACACACCTGATCCTGGGTCAATTTCACTACTGTTGCCACGCTTGAGTCCATCGATGCTGCCACTTGGCCAATCCATCTCATTGGGGGTTCTTCCTCTTTTTCTCTGACCCTCCACCTTACCTAACAAGATATCCTTCTCCAGCAACTGGTCCCTCCTGACAATATGTCCAAAATCTGAGAGACCAAATTTGGCCATCTTGGCCTCCAAGGAACACTCTGGCTGCACTTCTTCCAAAACGGATCTATTGGTTCTTTGGGCAGCCCATGGCACTTTCATTATTCTCCAACACCATAACTCAGAAGCATCAATTCTTGTTGTTATGTGCCATGGAGTCAGTTCCGAGTCATAGTGACCCTGCACAGGGTTTCCGAGGCTGTAAATCTCTATGGAAGCAGAACGCCTCATCTTTCTCCCACGGAGCGGATGGTAGTTTCAAACTTCTCACCTTGCGGTTTGCAGCCCAATTCGTAACCACTACGCTACCAGATCAATTCTTATAGGGCTCATCAATATGTGTCGTTAAAGAAAGTGTGTTTCGTAGAATTGATATTAGAAAAGATTTTAGGATTCTACCAAACTTCTGTGAGATCAGAACCAAGGAAGCCTACACAAGCTTGAAAGCAATCTCCCATGGGTGCAGTGATGCCAGCCCACTTTCTTCTGTACAGTGATTTCATGTACATTGACATCATTTATGGTACTCTGTGTGTGCCTCACAACAACACTGGGAGTGGACAGGGCAGCTATTTTACACATTAGGCAAATGACATTTGCAGAAGTTACGTGACCATCCAAGATCTCGGGTGTAGTATTTTTCTTATTTCAACTAGCTTCAAAAACAGAGAAAAATATGTGTAATGTAACACAAATTCTCTTGGCTATACAACTACAACCAAGGGGAGCTTAAGAAAAAGGTCAACTGTAGACTCCTGGAGAATCAAACAACAAACATTCTTATATAAAGGCAGTTATATATAACTGTGTACTTAGGCACAGTATGTATGGAGCTTAGATCTAGTGGTGCAGTGTTTTAAGCACTTAAAACACTTTTGGCTGATAACTAAAAGGTCAGTGGTTTAAAGCCTTAAATCGTTGCATGGGAGAAAGACGTGGCAGTCTGCTTCTGTAAGGCTCACGCCCTGGAAAGCCTAGGGGTCGCTCTGCTCTGTGCTACAGGGCTGCTCTCAGTTGGAACTGGCTGGATGATGTTTTTAAATGTATGAACTGTGCTTCATAAATTTGAGTTTCATATGTATTGTTCCCATTTATTCAGTTTAAGAGCTGTAAAGAGAAAACTTTTAGGATGGATAAATAGGAAAAAAATGTCAAGCAATTTACAGAAATGAAGAAAGAAATGTGATTTGTATCCTTTTCATACTAAGCAAAGACACTGCTTGCTTACTGATTTAACTGCACTACTAGGAGCTCTGGTAGCGTAGTGGTTACGAATTGGGTTGCGAACCTTACGGTCAGTGGTTCGAAACTACCAGCCGCTCCGCGGGAGAAAGATGAGGCTTTCTACTCCCGTAAAGATTTACACCCTCGGAAACCCTGTACAGGGTCGCTATGGGTCGGAACCGACTCGACGGCACTTAACAACAACAACAACTCTCAGAGAAGGAGCCTGGTGTGGCGCTGTAGGATATGCACTGAACTGATAATGAAGTCGGCAGTTCAAACCCACCAGGCACTCCTTGGAAACCTTATACAGGGTCACTGTGATTCAGAACTGACTCGGTGGCATGTGACAACAACAATAACTGTCAAAGAGGCAAAAAGGTATAGGTCAGAAATGTCCTTACCTATACCTGGATGATCAGCCACGATGGTTACACGATATTCTTTACAAAACACCTGGTAGGCCGACATGTTCTTCTTTTTTGGCTAGTATTACATAGAAAACAGAATATGGTAAGACTTAAGAGAACACACATTTAGCAATCCTGAATCTATGGTAACAAAACAGAAAGGATACGGATACTTTCTCAATCAAGGGAAAGAATTACAAATCACGAACCAGCTTTCTTAAACAGGATTACCTAATTTTCAATCCGTAGTATTTAACACTCCAGAGATGAATGTCAGTTTTACTCTCAGCAGGTAAAAACTACTATGCTAGATTATTATTAAATTTCTGTGGGTTGTTGCAGTCACATGATTACTAAGATCAAGTTATGACTTGGTCGTACTAGAAAAGTCATCCATTCTTCCTATATATGATACTGTTACATATTTCTGTTAGAACTAAATGCTAAGATCTTTGCCTGGCCTGGGATGTCTACCTTGCTCATCTTTGAAAATAAGAAAGCACACTAAGAACCACAAAACTGGTATCTCCCTTTAAACTCTGTAGTCAGGAAACCAGGAGCCAATGCGTTGTTTTTTTTCTTAGTTTGATTGCTAATCTTACAGCTTCTCTGATTCTGCTGCCACTGGGGTTCTTTGGCTCAAGGTGGGCTGTAATAACTGAAGACAATTCTTGGGGACTCAATGTAAGATGAACCTCTTCTCCTTCAGCACACATTTGGTGTTACTTGAAGCATATTTGATCTTTGCTGCATTATGATAACTTCCAAAAGCAAAGTATAATTTTTGAGATACCAAAATCAAATATGCTTTCCCAGTCAGTTCAATGAGGAATCTATAAAACATAAAATGCCCATGTCTTCCATTTTATAATCATCCACAGACTGACAAGTTAGTTTTCCTACATGGAAAGGAACATTAGATATCATCTGATTTTCAGATGGGAAAATGGAAACTCCAACACTTAGCTACAAGCCAAGGGTCCAACAACTAAGTTCATGACGACATCAGCACGACGACACTCCAGGTCGGCTGACTTCCTGCGCTAATGCATTATACTATGCTTACAATAGGGCCAAAGAAAGAAATGATGTTGCTTCCATTACAGCAAAGGTATTACAAGAAGCGTGGTAATTTTACAACCTGTATCTGATAAACTGAGCTGTTTTAGGACAGATTTCTTTACAAACACATGTGAAAGCATCAAAGTATGACCATCAGTCCTCTATTCCCTCCTGAGAGAAGTCTTTTGGGTCCTGCAATTGTGACACCAACACTAGGTGCTTTAAAAGATACTGAGCACTTGTGTTTGCCTTCAGAGGAAGACTTCAGGACAGAAACCCAGTTCTGTCTCACCACTAGATTTGTATCTTGTTTTAAAACAAAGCTTGACCATACAGTTTTGTTCACCTTAGTTCTTTATGTCTTTTAATTGCTTCCATTAAAAAAGTATCCTCAGTGGGTGGAGACTTGCTGAGACTGATGATAAAAAGCCTGCACAGTGGCTCTGGCTTTAATTCCAAAGGAAATTCGCACACTATTTGAGGACTGGACATTCATGCATTCCTAGCACACCTTCCAAGGCAAGGGATTTGAATGAGAAAACATTTGGATGTGAAAAATATGGTCAGTTTGTTAAACATTCAGTATGAAAATTATATACTAGTTGTATAAAAATGGCTTCTCCATAGGTCTGACATTTACTACAGCACAAGATGAAAGAGTAGTGTATGGAAGTCTATGCAGAGCAAACTCCCTCTCTTCTGTAAAGTCAAACTCACTACTCAGTATCAAGAACATCAGGAAGAATATTTCAGTCCATTTGGTCATATTATAAACAGTTCGAGGAGTTGTAACAATGTTTTCTTAAGCACTATATGGTGCCATGGAGTCCTGGTGTGGTGCTGTAGGATAAACGTTCGATGTATTAGACACTAAAGACCGAAGACCAGAAGAGTTGTGGGATGACATCAAGAACATCATAGTGGAAGAAAGCAAAATTATTAACAAGATAAGAAAGACAGAAAAGACCAAAATGGATGCCACAAGAGTGTCTTGGATCTCTGAAACTTGCTCTCCACAGTAGAGCTGCTAAAGCAAACGGAAGAAATGAGGAGATAAAATTGTTGAACAGAAAATTTCAAAGGACAGCCCAAGAAGACAAAGTCAAGTATTATAATAAAACGTACAAAGACCTGGAGTTAGAAAACCAAAAGGGAAGAATATGTTCAGCATTCCTCAAGCTGAAATTACTGAAGCAAAACTCAAGCTTCGACTTGATATACTGAAGGAGTTTGTGTGCAATATATGATACAAAAAGCATCAAAAGATGGGATACATCGAGTCACTGTACCAAAAAGAAATGGTCAATGCTCAACCATTTCAAGAGGAAGCATGTAATCAAGAGCCAAGGGCATTGAAGGAAGAAGTCCAAGGTAGACTGAAGGCACTAGCAAAGAACAAGGCTCTGGGGAACTGCTGGCATACAAATGATAATCTTTCAATAAACTAACACAGTACTGGAGGCACTCACTCATCTATGCCAAGTAATTTGGAAGACAGCTCTATCAGGCTGACTGATTGGAAGAGATCCATATTTATGTTCATTTCAAAGAAAGGTGACTCAATAAAATATGGAAATCATTTGACAATATCATTAATGTCATATGCAAGTAAAACTTAAGATAATCCCATTCAAAACAACTGCAACAGTACACTTATAGGAAACGTCCAGAGGGTCCAGCTGAATTCAGACAAGGGCATGGACCTAGGGATATATCATTGCTGATATCAGATGGATTTTGGTTGAAAGCAGAGAATAACAGAAAGATGTTTACCTGTGCTTTACTGACTAGGCGAAGACTTTTGACTATGAATCATGACAAGCTGTGGACAACGTCTCTAGCATGGGTATTTCATTCAGAACAGTTGATTGTGCTCATGAGGAACCTGTGCATACACCAAGAAGCAGTAGTTCGAATAGAACAAGGGGATACTGAATGGTTTAAAATCAGGAAAAGTGTGCACAAGGTTGTATTCTTTCACCATACTTATTCAATCGGTATGTTGAGCAAATCATGAGAAAAGCTGGATTGTATGAAAAAGAATGTGGCATCAGGATTGGAGGCAGATTCATTAAGAACCTGTGATATGCTAATGATACAATGTTGCTTGCTGAAATGGAAGAGTCCTTAACATACTTACTGATGAAGATCAAAAATCACAGCCTTCAGTATGGGTTGCACCTCATCACTGGACCAATAAAGAACATCATGATAAATGGAGAAAAGAGTGAAGTTGTCAAAGTATTCAGTTTACTTGGATCCACTATCAACACTCAGGGAAGCAGCAGTCAAGGAATCAAGTGACATATTGCACTAGGCACAAATGTTGCACAAAACCTCTTCAAAGTGTTCAAGAGCAAAGGTGTCAGTTTGAGGACAAGGCATGCCTGACCCAAGCCATGGCATTTTCAAATAATCTTATATGCATGCGAAAGTTGGACAGTGAAAAGAAAGACCATAGAAGGATTGATGCACTGACTTGGAGAATGTTAAAAGTACCATAGATTGTCAAAAGAACAAACAAATCTGTGTTGGAAGAAGTTACAATGAGAATGCTCCTTAGAAGCCAGGGTGGATGGTGAGACTTGGTCTCTCATACTTTGGACATGTGATCATGAGAGACCAGTTCCTGGAGATGGACACCATGCTTGGTAAAGTGGAGGGTGTAAGCACAAAAAAGGAAGACCCCCAAAGAGATGGATTTGCCTAATTGCAGCAGCAGTAGGCTCAAGTGTAACAGATTGTGAGGACAGTATTGGACCAGGCAGCGTTCTGTTCTGTTGTGCACAGATTAGCTGAGTGGGAACAGACTTGATGGCAGCAAACAGGAACAATAATGTTGTCTCAGCTCCACCATATTCAAAGTATTTGATCCTGAATAAATCACAAGAGAAGTGGATAGGTGTTCTGACACATGAGACTAGAAGTAATTCAATAGCAAAGAAGGAAAAGCACAGAATGAGAATAAAGGAAGAGGGACTGGAACACAGTCAGTTTGAACTGCAAGACTTAGGGCTCAAACCCACCATTCGCTCCTCAGAAACCCTATACAGCGTTGCTATGAGTCAGAACCGACTCGACGGTGCTTAATAACAACAATCACAAAGTACCGTCCTTTCAGTTATTAATATTTACTGAGAATCATTGTGTGCCAGATATTGGGAATATAACCAAGACACAGTCTAACAAATAAGACAAGTAAATGTGTCAATAAAATAAGCTGTGAGGCTATTAAAGGAAATGCATGGGGTGCTATGGGAACATGTAATAGGAGCACTTCAATAGTATAGGAGTCAAGAAGAGCTTTTTGGGAAAAGTGACTTTTAATTTATAATTGAAAGCTGGGTAGAATTAGCCAAGAGATAATTGGTTAAGAGTGTTTTAGGAAAAGGGAAGATGTGGTAACACACAAAATAAGAAAGACGAGATATGTTAGAGACACGGGCAGATCCCACGGACAAGACACTGTCCTCTGAAGCAGGAAGCTGCATGCTCAGAGCTCTGGAGGTGGGACTGGACAAGAGCAAGTGCCGAGGCAGGGAGAGTGCAGGGTGGAACCAGAGGATAACAACAACCCGGTCCTGAAAGAGGATCTCAAGCCTCAGGAAGAAGCTGGAGTTCAGTCTTGTGAGGTCCTGAGCAGAGTCCTACTTGGACTCTGAGCCACAGAATTGAGATAACAAAGTGGTGCTGTTGTAACCCATTCAGCAGTCAGTGATGACTTGTTGCAGCAACAGAAAACTAAAACAAATTCTCTTCTACTCCCTCTGTAGTTTTGAAAATTGAAATGTGTCCCCCAAGAGCCAAAATAAGCTTTTACAAAAATGGAACTTGTGGACAAGGAGAACAGAATTACATCATTTGGCCAAAATCAGACAAAGGAAAACCCAGCAAGACCTTGATTCTCAAAATTATTCATTCTAAGACCAAATTCCTGTATTTTTAGAGATGCTGCAGAAGTGAGTTCTGGGTGCTGCATCTTCCTTATTAATTTACTGGCAGCTCTAAGTATTG